CTCGTCCGTAAACAAAATGCCCGCCCAATCCCGTCGAGTAAATCACAGATGCCTTCTGCACCAGTCCAGACATGCTACACGATGACGTGGCAGAAGAACTGGGCGGATTGCAGGACGTCGCGGACGGATAGCTCGTTCCCGCAATCGGTTCCGTACAGTTCTCGGGCTTATTGGTAGCAACCCAGGGATTGTCCGTGCAGTCAAGCTTGACGCATACCAATAATCCGTAGGCGGTCATTTTCATTGAGCCTCGGCATAGCATTAATCACAAATTAAAACGTTATAATGCTGTTCACTGGTCTCAACAGAGTGACCCAACAGTTGAAAAATAAACTTTCATTGTCGAATTGGATGGCTGCACGGGAAAAACTGTCAATGACACGGATAGTGTGTATGTGTCATACTCGGTCATGTGTGTGAATTTTCATGTATAACAATTCTCCGCATGCAAAGTTTCTTTTTCCCGCTAGTATAGATGGTAATAGCTGGTATCCTATTATTCACATATTATAAACTATAGTTAACGTGTCCTTAACTTGACACTCTGCAATGTCGGATTACATTAATAAGTGTTTTTTTTTTTTTATATATATATATGGATCTGAAATTATGAAAATCATTCTACACTTTCTTCTAATAAAGTTCCATCCATATTAAACCAGTTACAATAGTACGACACCTGTTTATATCTACTTACCTACACAGTGTCCATTGCTGACGTTGCATGTTTTGATTTTACAACTTTCAGAGCATTCTTTATGACAATCACTGCCATATTTGCCATTCAAACATCCTTTACAATAAATAAAAAGCAGTCTTGTTGAAATCAACATGTTCAAAAAGATTAATTTATTTCTCTTGTTTATATCTTAACATGTGAGGAAACAATTCTTCTCAAATAATTCCTATTATCATAAACGTATGAACAGTCGTTAGCTAGTGCTTAAACAGGAGTTACGTCCAATGGTATTGTTTCACTAGAACGAGTCTTTGATCTGGTTGAAAACTTTTCTAACTGTAGAAATATACATGTTTTAGGGTATTTTACAGCGTTTCTTATTTTATTATTTATTTTAAAGTGTATTTTTGTATCAAAGTTCAATATCAATTCTAGCTGTTTTGGGAGACTCAGTAGAAGAATTTGCCAAAATATACATTTGTATCATATCTATAAAGAGTTCGATGTCTTATTAATAAAGCATATTCTACGTTTCATGATGAATTACAATTGAATTTCACGAGTACAGTAAAAAGGGGTAATATTTGTCATGAGTGCGTAGCAAGAGTAAGAAATGAAGACAGATTTAGGCACAAGTCAAAATAACTGTTCTTCATCACGAAACCGAATATATTTTGTCTGTTCTTTTTTTTTCGTTTCTGATTTGTGACGTTACTATAACAAGGTCCATTATCATTTCCCACAATAAACCATGCTCTCTGATTGGTCAATTAATGTGAAAATAGCAAAAAAGTTTTTTTCGTCAGAGTAGAAAAATATCATCTGTATTTTTCACCGTAAAAAACGTATATCTGTTTTTTACATGAGTCATCAAGACAATGACATAATATTGTATAGTAGCAGAGACAATTAATGGAAACAAGATTCACCGCTGCACATTTGTGATCACTTACTTTTTGATTCAGTGTTTCTTCAGTTATTTGATTTTTTTTACTTTGAGCGATTACAATTTGGTTACATATTGAAGGTTTTGTATAATTTTCTCACTTTTCTGTCAGGCCTTATTATATTAGATACGAAATGTACCGGTCTGGTTGAGTAGTTATTATTCTATTACGCTATCTTGCAACATATCACTTTAGTGACACGGTTAAAAAGATAAATAAATTAAAACGTGTTACCTGTGCAATGAGCGGAGTCTTTTTCACAAATGCCGTCTTTGCAGTTGACAGAGCAAGCCTGTTCACAGAAATTGCCATGTTTCTCTGGAGAACAATCTACAAAACGCATTGACGCATTAGTATCATGTTAAAAAAGTGAATGCTGAAAAAATAAGGAGGAATAACTTGATTGAACAGACAAAGAGGAGTAAAGCAGGTTTTGTAACCTATGTATTTTATCCTTTAGCTCTTCATCTATAAAGTCCATTTTTAGTTTAGATTCCAAGGAACTACCCAAACAAATACGCTGAAAAGGGGTAAGCATTTTACCAAAACTTTATTTCCAAACAGTATTTTCGCTTATTTGAATATGACGTCAGTATACTTTGGTCTTTTTATAGGCGCTTATCAAATTTCTGATACGGGGAAAATGGCATAAGATTCATTTTGATGAAACGGCTTCTTTTACTGTTAACAAGAAGCCGACCACATAATTTGACTAATTTATTCGAAAATTGCTTTTTTTTTACATTTGCGTAAAGACTTCTGTCAGTGTACAACTAAAAATCAGAACTTCTTCATTCTTTTGCTACTAGATAAACTCTAACGCTGATGTTATTCATTTAATTTATCTTTTTTATAACTCTTAGCATTAAAGTGCTATGTTTGTCCAGTATTACAGAATGCAACTAATAAATGTTGTGTTATGAATATGTATGAAAAGATAAACTGATGAAACAATCATCCATAATAAAAAAAACATGTTTATGTCGAAAAGACAAGCAATTGATCATTTCATCATCTTAGCTTCCTTTTCGGGTCGTGTTGGGGTTGTAGTCGTTAGATTACCGAATACTTGTGGAAGTCGTATATCGTTTCAGTAAATCATGTTCATTAGTTATTTGTGTTTCTTAGTGACATATGTGTACGTATCAAATTATTGTCATATCGCATCATGTACGGTCATCCGAAGATCGAAGATATGGACTAAACGTTGCAAAAGTTGAGTGCTAGATATAGTTATACACGTATACAACAAATACAACCTCAGAAACAAGAGGCATTGAGAAGATAGACTTTCCCTGCATTGCCTCCGATACCTGATATGGAACTTACAAAAGCAGTGACCATTGGAAGCATCACAGTTGCCACCAAAGCAGTTTTCTGAGCACATCTGATCGCAATTACCGCTTCCATAAGTTCCTATGTCACATCCTGCTCAAAACAAAACATTTAATGATAATCATTATCTGTTTAACAAAAACGTGTCTTCACCGCGAATCCCACCAGTAGTTCAATGTATGATTTTGATAATAGCATGGCTGTTGTGAATGGCAATAATTACTTTTTTAACATTTTGTTTCGTTTTTTATCATTACTCACCGAACACCTGAACTTCACACAGCTCAAGTACAGCTGTGTTGCTATACCAGGTCTGCCTCTTTGGGTTCTGTCTGTAGTTGTAAACGATAACGTATCGAGCTACATACGGAGATGGTAAGGTCACATCCAACTCCACGTCATCCTTGTTAATACTGGTGTCTTCATAAAATAGTATGCCTTGTGTCCGGTCAGTTGTATTGGATACGTATAGTTGATATCCAGCAAATCTTTGAGCAAATTTATCTTAAAAAGAACATTTGAACATGTGTAAAGAAACATGCATTTATTTTTATCAAAACGTTATTGCTGGTCCTTATGTTTAGAATGTACGATTACATACCAAACAAAGATGCTCTTAATCACCGACTTCCAATATAAAGAAGTTTCTTAAAAGGAGCAAGAGGACCAGAGGTCCTATATCGCTTACCTGTTTCTTTTGTTACATGAGACTGACAACTTCAGACCAAATTTTGTAGCTAGACCACAAGACATTTTAACTTCTCTTAAACGGTTCTTAAGATATTGTTCTTTGAAATTTGAAATTTTAATCTTAAAGCTTTTAACCGATGTTGACCTTTGACTTCGGCTAGCACCTAAAGTTGACATTTAACCTGATTACTGTAATAAAGAAAACGATTAACACAGCTAGTCTACATAACATACCCAAACATCATGACTTTATACCAAATGGTTCTTAAGAAATTGTTGTTTGAATGTTTAACATATTTGACCCCTGTGACCTTGAAAGTAGGTCAATGTCATTTTAATGAGGAACATACCATCCCAGGTACCTACTGGCCGAATATCATGTCCATGAGCCTTATGGAACTTGAGAAGAAAATTGTGAAAGCTTTTAACCCATGGTGACATTTGACCCCCGCTAGCACTTAAAGATGACCTTTGACCTTATTACTGTAATTCAAAGTAAGATTTGCACTGCTGGTCTATATAACATAGCCAAGTATTATGACTCTATACCAAATGGTTCTTGGGCTATTGTGATTGGATTTTTTTACATATTGACCCCTGTAACGTTGAAAGTAAGTCAAAGTCATTTTAATGAGGAACATACCATCCCAGGTACCTACTGGCCGAATATCATGTCCATGAGCCTTATGGAACTTGAGAAGAAAATTGTGATAGCTTTTAACCCATGGTGACATTTGACCCCCGCTAGCACTTAAAGATGACCTTTGACCTTATTACTGTAATTCAAAACAAGATTTGCACTGCTGGTCTATATAATATAGTCAAGTATTATGACTCTATACCAAATGGTTCTTAGGCTACTGTAATTGTAATTTTTTTACATATTGACCCCTGTGACCTTGAAAGTAAGTCAAGCTCATTTTCATTCGCAAACTTTGTTATGCGCCATCATAGGATGCTACTGGCCAAAAATCATGACTCTACGCCTTTCGGATCTTCAGAAGAAGTCGTTTGAATGTTTTAACCTATTTGACTCCTGTGACTTTGAAAGTAAGTCAAAGTCATTTTCATTCGCAAACTTTGTCGGGGTCTATCATAGGATGCTACTTGCCAAATATCATGAATTCAGGTCTTACTGATCTTCAGATAAGTCGTTTGAATTTGTAGATCTATTTGACCCCTGTGACCTTGAAAGTAAAGCAAGGTCATTTTCATTTTCAAACTTTTTCTGGTGCCATCATAGGATGCTACTGGCCAAATATCATGACATTAGGCCTCTCGGACCTAAAGAAGAATACGTTTAAACAGGAGCCCGAACGAATTATTCATTAACTTTACTCTTTCATTTACCTACGTATTTAAAACATCACATTTTTGTCGCTAAATTAAGAAACAAAGACATTTCTTTTAACTGAGCATTTATTCATTCGATAATTATATATCACTGAAAAAGAACCGGGAAAGAACATGTAAATCACTGTCTTCTTCAGCAAACTAAATGTATATCCAATTATGTGATTGAAATTATTATTATAACTATTTACTACCAGGATCTTCGATAAGATAATAAGTACAATGAACATTAAACAACATTCATTGTTTTCATTACGATGAGTAAAAAGACACATTACTCACATTGCCATTAATAACTTGGATTCGAAAAAATGTTAATAATAGTCTGCTGTATTTTTATAAAAGCAAATAAATAACTTGTAACAGAAAGCATGAAAAAACGTCGAAAACTCGGAAAATCTGTAGACACAAATGTCAAAAAAATCCAAACGTTCCTTTTACACCACGATATATTTTGTTAACAATATGCAATTAACACCACGTCATGTTTTGTGGAAGACAATCTGACATGTGTTTCAGATATCGTATCAATCCTAGATATATCGGTTTGTATCTAAGTTCTTAGCCTCTAATTAAACATTCGTGATTCATTATAAGAAGTTGAATGGTTTAGTTATTATGTCAGCATGCGATAACTCACCTCTGTAGTAGATACGGATGTACTGTATGGTGCGTGGCTGTTTCAAATCCACATGCCACCAGGCCTCTGTTTTACCTGTAGCTGATGTGTGGGTACAACAATCAGATTCAATTGTTTGACGGACACAATCGTCCAATGCTGCGGCTGCTTTCCATTTTGTGAGTGACTGATCAGAGCTTTGAGTTGCGATTCCGTTCAAAGCCATATTTGCTGAAGTATGAAACGAATTTTGAACATAAAATAATCATTGAATAACTGTATAACAGGTTGCAAGGAACTCACGTTTTTTTTCCGCAGCGGTTGTTATCTGTACCTGTGTGCAAACAGTCATTGTGCCGGTGAAGTATGCAACAGTGCTAAATCGGCCTACGTTAAATTTCATGTTTTTGTTAGTGTAAATTAATTGAAAATGATATAAAAAACTTATCAAAAAAGCGCAAACGTGTATGTAGCGCTGCTCCTACAGCGAAGTTAAATATATTTGTTCATCCTATAAGCCTGAGCTCACTTGAGGGTGTTACACGGCTTACAACAACCCGGCATTGACCTAATGTTGGTATAGACCATTGCTAGGAGAAAGGTATCATATTTCCTAAAACAAAATTAAGACGGATGGCGGATCTGCGCTGCAATTTATTTGAACATGCTAGAACAAATTATATTTCTGTAGATAAATGTTAACTGGAATGTTACATTTTTGAAAAGTTTACTTGTAAAATGCATTAATATCGAGTAATATCGATTTGTCGTCGCCATAGCCGTCGCTATCATTGGTATGCTGATGACACACAAACATGATCATCAAACCATAGGACAGATGGGATACAATATCAGAAAATCTGGAAGCTTGTCTGACAGACAGCAGTATCTGGATGAACGCCAACATGCTAAAGCTTAATCAGAAAAAGGCGGAACTAATCGTCTTTTCCCCAAAGTGTCAGCAAACAATGGGTCTTCAGCTCAAGGTCGGTGCCAGAACTATATATACTGTCCTAGCTGTTAAAAACCAAGGGGTATACTTTGTCACTGAACATGGGGAAACAAGTGAAAACTATTGCCAAATCCTGTTACTACCAGATCCGGAACATCGGCTGTACCCGGCAGTTTATAACTGCAAATGCATGCAAGATTTTGGTGCATTCACGTGTAACCTCTTGGTTGAATTACGGTAATGCCCTGCTCTGTGGTTAATCTGACAAACTAACTAGTCGTCTGCAGATGGTCTAGAACACTGCAGCATGTCTGGTTACTTGTACTCGAAAGAGAGAGCACATCCCACCTGTAGTATATTCATTTGACTGGTTACCTGTACGGTACAGGTCGAAGTACAACATTTTAGTGTACATATACAAGGCACTGAATGAAACAGCTTCCCAATACCTACAGGAGCTTGTTACCCTGTATCAGCCATCACGATCACTGCGGTCGGAGACAGAATCATTAGTGTGTGTCCCAAAATCTCGTACTGTGACCTATGGAAACCGGTGCTTTGGAAGGCCTTCGGCCACGTTGTGTAATAGCTAACCATCTGCTATTAGAAAGACAAATACCCTGGCCATATTCGAGAAGTATATAAAAATTCACATCTTCACGTCTGCATTGTAGGCTCTTTGCACAGACGTCATGAACTTACCACTCGTTATTTATTCATGTATGTGTACGTTGAGATGATTATCTTCTTGCGTAATCTATAATGGTGTTTTTAAGCATTTTTTGTTTAACAATTATAACTACTGTTATTATCCATATGTTGTAAAGCTCTTTAGAGTAATTTTACAAAGTATATATAAATGTTGTATATTATTATTATTATATATCAACTAGTGGTCAGGACATTGTGTCGATTTGAACCCTGTCCCGCTTCCCAGAGGAAGATGTAACTTCTATCGAAAAAACCCCAATATTCTTGGCGTGATGACATTAGATATTAATTATCGTGATGACGTTAACTATTAATTCTCTTTTAATCTGTGAATTGACTTAAACATTGAACAACACTCTTTAGACTCCGCTATTAAGCTCCCTGTGCCGGCAACTGTCTTAACTTATACAAGAGTTGATGCTCCTTCCCCCAAGAATTGTCCCATACAAAGTTGTGTTCAAATAAAGACTATATTCTGTCGTGAATTAACCTTTTAAGATCGTGTGTTGATGGTCATTGCATTCTTTCAATTACTTCTTATAAAAAAAAAGGTTATAAAAAGTGGGCATATCCAGGGTATCATCAGCTCAATAATGATAGATTGGAAGGTGGAACTACAAAGATATTTTTGAATTAAACAAAGTTTTATCACTTAACAAAAAATGTAGAAAATATAATTTATGATGTGCGGTTCAGTACCCAGTCATACAGCAAGCTTTTATTAAAAGTTCAATAGTCAAATAAAAACCAGTAATACCACAGCATGAATTGAAAAAGGCCGTTTATTATAAAAACGACGTAAAATAAAATCATGTATACAAAACATGTCACGTCGTTTCTTCCAAAAACAACGTAAAATAAAAACATGTATACACAACATGTAAAACATGCTACATCATACTGATCTGAATACATATAGGCATTATGCCTAATGAAAACAATTATGTGACTATTAAAGGAGGGGGGCAAAACCGCCGCCACCAACCGCCTTTTACACAAAATATACCTCCTATACAAACATTGGCCGAGTAAGGGGATGGTGGTGGGAACAAAAGCTGAAATGTGCGTCTTACCTTTGGCCTCGAGAAAAATTTGCTGAAGTGACGCTATTGTTGGTCACGTGATGTGTATCCCTACATCGGCAACGGTAAACCGGTCAGATTATGCGTCGCAAAAGGAAACTTGAGGCCAAGATAAGAAGTACATCCGCATATAAAAATAGTTCTAAATAAAATCTGAACCCACATCATAAATGTAATTAAATTAACTTTGTATTTAATTGTTGTTTTTACTTTTTAAAGACAAATCGAAGGTAAACGTCGTGTTTACAAGAAAACGACATCACGCAATGCATTTATTGTATGTTTCTGTTAGTTGATTGCGACCTACGTTGTATTAAATGCACATGGGCTCTTCATTCTCATTAACGTGATACATTCACATATGTATTCTATCTGAGGAATACATATTATTTTGGATTGTATTTCATGCCAATCAATTCATAATATGAGTATAAGGACTTTCCACCCTTCGTAATACACATGTTTTTTTGTCGTATTTTCGTGTCGTCATTTCCGTATTGCGTATCGGGCATTCCATTACCGTAGTGTAAATTATAGAAACACTGAGTAAACACAAGAATTCCACGAAAGTGGATGTGTCGCCTGCGCAGGAAGCTGGGAGATTACGAAGAAATAGATACACTTTTCATTTCAAGAAATAATGTTAAAAGTTATTTACTATTTATAGTAACAGTGACCTTGACCTTTGACCTTCGGACCTGAAAAGCAATCCCAATCAAGCACTTTTGGTAAGGAAGCACTGCATGACGTTTGAGTTTGATCGGCCGAGGGAAACTCAAGTTATCGCACGAAAACAGATTTTCTATTTATAGTAGCAGCGACCTTGACCTTTGACCCCTGGATCTGAAAAGCAATCCCAAGCAAGCACTTTTGGTAAGGAAGCACTGGATGAAGTTTGAGTTAGATTGGCACAAGGCAACTCAAGTTATCGCACGTAAACCTATGCGCGGACGACGCCGACATAGCAATACCTATGTGTCACCAGTATTTCGCAGGCGACACAAAAAGTACACGTGAGTGACGATGATATGTCAACACCCGATATCGAGACTTACTAATAACACGGAAATCATGTGCAATTATACTTACTTCAGAAATAAAGCTTATGATACAAAGATATTAATTAACTCACAGGAAAACACTGACACACGATCAGAAGGTCGTATATATATGATGCGCATGGAATGCAGACTGATGTGTTTTGTTTACCGACCTCACCTGTACGTTCACGTGCTTACAGTAATTCACAAGCTCTTGGTAGCTACGACTTTTGTTGTCGAGCAGCGAGTTACGCTCTGTCAGATAAATCGATTCACAAATGCAATTACAATACTCTGTGAAAATAGTGGTTCGTAAAATATCAGAATCCTCAAACAATGCAAGTGCATGTGCGTGCACGTAATAACGGCATACCATGCGATAGCCTACGGTTATACATGTACCTGACATGTTAATATACCATGCGTAAGCAGGCTATGGAATGATGTCCAAAGTGTACATGATTGAGAGTAATTTTGTTCCATAAAAGAACAGTAAATTGACAATTGAATATAGTAATTTAATTTATTTCCGTCGTTTTTGGTATAGTAAATAAAATAAGTGTCAATGCATAAATTCTATCCCTCTGCGAAAAATTCCGATTTTTTTCAAGGTAGACAACTCTCATCAGGATCAAAATTATTGTAAAATATAAAATAAATGAATAATAAAGACTTTGAGTATATTTGGTTCAATTTTTCACTCTTTTTGTATAAAACTATGTGTCCTGTTTGCTCTTAGATTGTATTTAGTAACTTTTATCCACACAATTTCAATAAAAAACACTTTTTTTGTAACATTTTGTAGATATTTTATGACAAATAACATATTTGTAGGGTCGATTAGCAATGTTTCTTTTCATTATTTTATTGTTGTTATAGTTTTAAATAATGCAACACGCTCAAAAAAATGTGAAAGTGTTGAATTTGACAAAAATTCATTTTTTTCGGTAATTTTTACAAAAAATCCCCAGTTTATCGGAATGCTTAGATTTTAATAAAATCATCTCTACATAGTGACATAACCATTATGTGAAACTTACATTGAAATCTGCTGGCTAATTGCGAAAGGGTGGAGCCTCCTTAAAAGGCAATACTTTCTTTTATTCCACTGTGTTCATGTGCATGTATCACGAGAAAAGATAGAACCCACCAACAGTACACATATGATTAACATTTGATTAACATATGATTATTTGCCTATGATTTACATACTCGTTTGATTAAAATGCCAGCTTGTTAAGTCGGTTGTGTGTAATATAAATCGAGTCTTACGACACGCAAAATGTGACTTCTAGTTGTGACGACTGCACCTCATATACTAAACAAACGTCACTGCACAGTTATCGTCTATTTAAAATTTTATATTGTTCGTAGCCGCGGAAGAAGCAATGCAATGCTTTTTTTGACATGTGATCTGTTTATTTGGGTTTTGAGTCACCGCTATTGACTGTAAGATTATGTAAACACTGGGTTTTGAGAGGATTTTTACTAGTTGTCTATTGTAAAGTTACAATCCGTTGTTAAATAGCTATTGTCCATTTAATATTTACATCAGTCCTTAGTATGAGTATACAATGGGGTGTAAATCAGTTTATTCAGTGCAGATGCTACTTTTCTTGCTTAAATTTTAATTTTCAAGAGAGAGAAAGAACTCAGGTAATTTTTTAAGCCTGAACTAAATCTTTCACTATGCGTTATAGTGTAATTTTCCAATCAGCATTCTTGAGTTGCGTGACGTTGACGCAACATACAAGAATTTGAATGTTCAACATCTCAACATTCGATATTCGACATTCAAGCTTTCCATTTGTAAACGAAAGAAACTGTGGGAGCGGGGAGGTGGTTGTCGATTTGGTAATACATCTACGCGCTATGGCTCATGTCGCGTTGCTCGGCATACGACATTCAACATTCATATTTTGAATGTTGAGAAGGTGTCTTACTCGCCTCCCCCTCACAACTTTCCCCCGCCACTTCTTTTTATTTAATGGAAAGTGTGCATGTCGAATATCGTATTTCGAGCAGCTCACCATTCAAATTCTTAATGTCGTATGTAGAGCCGTTCAATATTTTAACAGATCTTAATGTTTAATGCCGTATGTTGTATGTTGAGCCAACTTCACGCTACCGATTTTTCTATCGTTATCCATCGTCCTCAGCATGTCTTACAGTGTTAATAATACGGAAACTGGAACATACTGTTAAACTTGGCCGGAGTTGTATAGCGTTATTTAGACATAAACATTCATATGTACGTGGATCGGCAAATATTCTTGTTTCTACAGTATTTTATAATCCGAAGGCAAAATTACAATCGATTGCTATTGATATTGCCACGCGTTTATTCTTATGCAATCAATAAGTTCACCGTTTAAAGCCTGACCTATACAAAAATAAAGTGTTCTTTCCGTTATTTCTAGATGTCAAAAATGTGTCTAACGGTACTGGTTAGAAATCAGCTTCAGCGAAATAAATAAATAAACATACCTTCGAATCTCGACGGACGTACAATTATAAACAGGATAAATAATACGTTCAAGACATGAACAGCACCTCGTGTCGCCATGTCAGTTCAATCCACTGTAAGTTACATATACGACGTAAACCTTAACCAGGAAGTATACACCGCAAACAAGGTAGTAAATATAAAAAACTACTCGACAGCATAACAAACGGCAATTTCGAAATTTGAGGACGCACAAATCCGATAATTTTTCGAACGGAGACGCTGTATTATAAATGCTTTTTAATCAAGTCATCTAGACCCGGTTGTTAAAAGTCGGCGCATGATTAGCTTAACGTTACTTTATACAAAATGTTTATCAATTGTTTATTCGAAACAAAAGATTGAAATTAAAAAATAAAAGGTATGTAAACGGATTGAAAATAATCGTAGTGAGAAAAGAAACGCGAACGATTTTTTCTGCTTTTTCTCAAAAATCGCAGAAATGTGATTACATACTCGTTAAGACTACTATACGTTTTACTACCGGGTTCAGGTATACTTACATTTTTCGATCACTCCTCTTTTAATAGTTATATACATGCATTTAAAACACTTTGTTCAAGATTTCCTTCTTATAATAAATATACCGTATCGCATATGAACGAGCATTCCGATACCTAGCTACTTATATGTAATTGATGGGTCCCGCTTAGTACTCCGCTTGATCGATTGATAGATGGGGCTTTACGTTCATGTTCCGTTTTCCCGCTCTTAACCGTCTACCAAGTTTATGAGATTATCGGTAACATTGTGACGTCAATGTGTAACCTTGGGGTCAATGACTCATACACACAGTAGTGATCCGGAGCTGCACCAGGCATGCTTTTCTTTATGTTTTATCTAATTTTGGACTTTGACTGACAGTGATGTCAGATGTGAACGTTAACCCGACATTAAATATAATTCCCAATCGATAAAAGCCGTTAGCGACGAAGTAAAAATACTATTGACGACATACAAAGCACTTGACAGTGACAAGGGCTTATTAGTTATTAGTAGTACTCCCACAAGGACGAAACTCAGATAAGACATTGAGAGAAACCTTCATATTTGTTGTTAGGTATACTGCGGGCTCATTTTCCACTTTAGATAAATGAACTTAAAGGACCCCGTCCCCAAAATTCAATTGAAATGTTGTGTTTCGTCGTGTCAACAGAATTTCTTGTGTGATATTGTATATATATTAATATATATTTCATGATTGCATGATTACTCTTGCAGGCTTGTGTATCCAGGGGCGGATACAGGATTTTTTGAACGGCGGGGGNGGCCGGAGGTTGCATTTTAGCACTTTTCCATCATAAAATCAACAAATTATCTGGCCTCAGATTGGTGTATATTACTCTGTAAAGTCTCTTTTATTTTAGTTTTGATGTGAAGTTTTTAAGCATCTTGGCACACTTCCGTATATTCATGACTACCACACAGTTGCGTAATTCCTTTGTATGTTATGGCTGAATGCTACTTTTATTTATCTCTATAAAAAAATGGATTAATTTTCGTTATTGAAAATCGCTATATCTATTGGTTATTACAAAAAAACTGTTGGTTGAACAGTTTTCGTTTTTGAAAGCATTTCACGACTATGGAAGCCGTTTAAAAACGAGACATCAAAAGAAACTCGATTTCGTCGTTTTTTCAATCCTTATGAAACTGGTACATTATTATACTGAAGTGGAAATTCGTACAAAAATAAGTGTGATAATACCATAATTTTAACAGAGGGTTGAGAAATGCAAATCAACATTGAGGAGAGTCTCAAAATTAAAGCAGTTGTCTTCAAGTTCAAGCACTTTTAAAATTAACTTGAGGCTTACGGCTCATCGGTTCTAAATTCAACATAACATATATACAGTAGCACAAGAGTACAGCATATACTATTAATATGATCACCCTACTTTTGATACAATTAATAATATAACCATACAAAGTCCATATGCACCCAAACCCACTCATAAGCGCAAATATGTCACTCAATCATAAAACATATTGCCGCTTGTCATTCGTCTCGGGAACTTCTTGCAAAATAGTTTCACAACCTGCGAGTAACATAGTGGTATGTCTTTGTGAACGAACATCAGTGTCAAGTTCGACAATCTGCTCTGTCCAATGCTGCTCCTGAGCGACGTCTAGATGTATTTCAAGGCAGAGTTTCCTCGCTCAACAGTAGCACTGGACACTGGCATTACGAGCAAGATACTGAAAATGGTGTGAATATTTGGGTACATGTGCTTGTTCGTAGTTTCCAGTGCATCGTGAAGCGTGGATGGTCGTGTCGCTGTCAGGATCTCGCTCCATTTCCTCTTCCACGGACGTATTTCTTGGTCAAACGTGTGTTTATCGGGCAAACCGTTTCCAAAGTACTCCTTGACCTGTTCCACATCGTCGTTCGTCAGTGAGTCCAGAAACTGTGGAAGCAGATAAACAGCCCGTATAGCTTTAGTAGCCATAGGTCTAAACCTAGATTCCAGTTCGGAAATGATACGGTCCAATAAAGGAATGAAGGAAGAACACCGCCAGTAGTCAACTGGCTCTTCCATGTCGAGGTTGTCTCGTGTCGTCTGTCTGCCGCATCGCCTAGGAATGGCCATGGCTTCCACATCGGCGTCGGTGGCCATCATTGATGCCTGTTGCCAAACATTCTCATCAAATTCCTTTTCTGCATTTTCCCTGCATGCCTTAAGCTCATCAATGACGAGTCCCACTTCCTGATAAGCAGTCAGCATATCCTGCATAGTTCTCTGAAGGAGAGGACCGAGTGCCTTCGTGTAACCAAATACGTACTTTGTAGAGCAAAATGACACCAGGAAGCTTGGGGATGATACGGCAGCGAGAAGGCCCTTCGCCTCCAACATGCCTTTTGGGTCCCATTTACCAGATGCGTTGTCGCCTATGTGTTGTAGGCAATCCGACAGTGCCACAAAGATTTCCTCAAATTCCCCCAGAGATGTGTGTCGTTCCACCCACCTGGTTTCACACAAGACTTTTACAGTTTTGTGCTTGATCATAGATCCTCCATCTGCTTCTCTCTGAGAATTCACATCAGTTACCGATGACTCCAGCTATTGCTGGCGTTTTGGTGAGTACTTAAAGTTTATTCCGATTTCTTTTACTGTTGCCAACATGCACTGTATGCTTCGTTCTTTACATCCCGCACTAAGCACAAGATTCAGAACGTGGTTTGCACAGTGGAAGTATTGCGCCCGCGGATACAATTCTTGGAACCGTGCGCGGCATCCTTTGTTCTTACCCGACATGTTTCCTGCCCCATCATACGTCTGTGCGCGACAACGGCTTTGATCGAGATTGGCGGATTTAAAAGATTCCATAATTGCTTTACAAATTTCTTCCCCTGTCGTCGACTCACAGTTGACGTATTGAAGAAGCCTTTCCACGGGCTGGTTATCTTTCAGGTAACATAAAGCTATCCCCAGTTGTTCCGTGTTACTCACATCTCTGACCTTCTCTGCTTCGATTCCAAAGTATAAATGGTCCCGGCTGTTGATCTCTGAAACTATCACACCTCTGATGTAGTCCCCGATGCAATCGATAATGTCATTTTGTGATGTCTTCGACATGTTTGTCGCAATTTTGGGACAGTGATCAATATGCTCCTTTAGTATGGTATCCGTCTCGACCCGAAGATCTATCAGTGCCCTGAAAATGCCTCGTTTGTTCTCGTCGTCCGCAGTACCGTCATCCCTATGACCCCGAAGTGATATTCCCTGCCTTCCACACAATTCTATGCACTTTATTATAGGGACAAGGAATTTTGCGTTTTTCTCAGCATTAGACGTGGCCTCCTCGGACAAAGTAGTGTCGATTCTTTTTGTGGGATCTTTGTTGATTTGTTGGAAATTTTCAAAGAAGGCATATGCGTTATTGTGGTAATTACAGTCAGAATGATTCTTAATACCCTCTTCAAGTGCTTCCAGTTGCGAAATGGTTTTTCCTTGAAATTGATCGCGTCTTTAAAATGTTTGTGTTCTGTCAGAAAAAGTACGCACACGAGGCAAAACACGGCGTCTTCTCTTTCAGAGTAAGCAAGGAAGTCGTTCTGAAGAAGCCAGTCTCTGTGACACTTGCGATTACTATAACCACTCTTTTTCCGTCTATCTATAAATTCGGTAGCGGGGAAGGAAAAGTCGTGTGATGGCAGTCTATTAGATTTAATATTTTGTTTTGTGTTATCATTCACTTGGCTAGGGGTGCCGTTCGAGATAAATCTAGCGATGTCACTTTCCACTGGCCCGGATTCAGTCCTGGCTCTTTTGGCAGGCAGCGATTCTGGGGGAAATTAGTCTCCGTGGTATCCTCCTCGGCCACAGTACTTAAAGGAGTAGACTTCTCATGATCGTTGGTGATAACCTTCGCCTGTTTCAAGCAAGAAGACATAGTTAAATGACGTTTTTAATGTTTTCTCCATTTAAGATACTACTGGATTCTCCTGCACTACAATGATCTTGTTGTGGTATGTGTGGGATGAGGAAAGGCACAAAATGATTCGTGACGTACGCTACTCCAGGCCGATTGTCTAGGCATCCATCTCGTGACCAGAGTATGTAGACTATGCCTTCATTTTGTGATGACCTAATGGGGGATATCAACGCATTATAAGTGGCTCTTATATTCTCATTTACATCCGGATACACCGATAATACATCCCTGTCTAATACTGACGCCATTGCTTTCAGGTGAAGTAGTGTGGACCACCTTCGATCGGTAAGACTCAATAATGCCTCCTGTGCGACAGCCTCTGATCGGCTTCCAGTTGAATCCATGACGCCATTCGATTCGTCACTCAAAGACGTACAGAAGAGGACTTCATCAGGGATGACAGAAGCATACTCATGTTTGCGGAGTAACAACTCTATGGCAGCCGCGCTTCGTAATGATCCGTTCAGAGATTCGTCACCTGAATGACAAAATTGAGCCCACTAAATATATGTATTAGTTAGATAACACGTTTCCTATCATATAATTCTATAAGACTGTCTTATATCAGGGTGTATTATTATGGCACTGCATAAAGTCCGTCCGGGTGTCCATACTCGTTTTGTCTGGAGATATTCTCTCTCAGCTTTTGACCGATTCTTTTGAAACTTGGCAGGCTTTATCATCATGACAAGTAGGGTTGCGTTCCATTACTGTGTTATAATAATTTCCCATATCGCATGTTAGAGCAACTGCTTAAAAACTGCAATTATTTAACTAGATTCTGACGATTGGTAAACGAAATCATGATAACGCACACATTTTGAACTAATAATAATCTCTATCGTGCAGTAAATACAATTTTAACCTTCGGCTTTTTGTTTCAGTCTAATTATTAAATTAGCTTTCTGTGCTTCCTTACTCCTATTATGATGCATAACAATATTTACAAGATTGTCATGTATCCAAACGTGTTACCAACCTTTTAAATATATAGACACCGCATTGTACAAGCAGTTCCCATCCCCGTGTGTCTTTGGAATGATAAAGTGAGCATGGTCTTCTCCAAAATCAAATGGCACCAATGTCTCGGAGAAAACATCTCTTTGAAATGTGCCGGGGTCCACCTTCCTTGCTGATTGTTCAATGTTTCCTTTCAGTCTTAAAAGTTCCTCTTCGAGTGAAGTAACTTCATTGTGTCGCATGAAATTTCCAATCACACTTGTAAATGACGACGCCTACAACAGTACTCGTACTATTAACGTTACTTTACTAGTAATCTGACATCATATGTTACTGTTTTGGTGGGCAGCGGTTTATTGCGCCTATCATATTCTCGACAAAAACTTTAAACGACCCTATCAAATAAGCACGGGTCATTGACATTGCGATATTGAAATTGTGGCGCTCTAAAACTGCTGACGAGTTATCTTTCGGTTATAATGATATATCACAAGATTTCGTATTATATTTTGTTGTATAACACCATCCGTGTAAGCAAAATATGGATCGGATGACGAACGAACAATTAAATAGGTACTCATTTTCGTCACAGTTTGCATACTACATTTTACATGATGTCCATGACCACAGCCTGAAATGTATTATATATTATTTGGTTTTTAACTGAGCTTCGCCGAGATATCGATATTTAAAATTAAATTATAGCGACACTGGATTAAGTTCCATTTCTGCTGAATGTACATCAAACGTTTGTAACGGGAAATAAATTCGATTGGCACGATCAAAGACTGATTTATTTGATTGTATTTCGCTCACGGTAGACTCAACTCATACGCGTCAATGAAACAGGCAAACAGATCAAAGTTTTAATGAAGATACCAGTCGATTGGTGTTGCTACAGAACTATTAACCGTTTCATTTAGATGTTCCGTGGAACTCAATCCGGTATCGTTGTATTATGCCGTCCGGCGACCCGACGCAAAATTTTAATGTAACTACCTTTTAAATTAAAACCCAGGGATTTTGAGGACCCGGTAAAATATTTAAACTCGCTTATATCATATGTTCAATAGAATGCATTTTTCATAATTACTAAATTAGACGATAGAAGTTTATAATTTTTATAACATTTCCTAGATAGCATAATAAATGATGAGCTTTTAAACAAACATCGGTGAATTATGTCACCCGCGTATTACCTACATATGTCTATTCCATTTGTTTTGTTTATCGTATTTTTAAGATTGTAGACAAAATTATTCACATATTTTCAAAATACTTGCGCCATTTTATTACACTAGCCGATTCGTAACATAATAGCTAGGATAAAGCATTTGTAATGGAATAACAATGATAATATATATATATATATATATATATATATATACAGTAGAGTAGGCCTACTAGTAAGTAGGCCTACAAGTACCAAGTACGCGTCCGGGCGTCATATTTTCCAGCAACGTTATATTTTGAAATTGTTGACGTCGTTCGTCGATTTTTACTAGTAACGTTTTTTTTCTGTAAAATTTAACAGATAGATGTACAGTATGCTTTCCTCTTACGACTAAGTAAGCAAGTATTACAACGTGATGTAACCATGTTAAAAATCGGTTAAATATTTGTTTTCGCTATTTAGACACACAAATAAACAAAAAAATATGGAATAGACGTACATCTTTTTTATTTTCAAACTCTTATAGACGAGGTCCTTAAAAATGATTAACGTTACACCTTTTCGACTCCCATAAAATATTGCATAGGTACGGCGCCAGTTGGGTGACAGGGTAGGGTGGGGTGCTACGGAAGAAGGGTCACGCGCCCCTCCTTCCCCATCCTGATTTACCCACAGGCACCGGATGGGTGAGTCACTCAATCATGGTGGGGAAGGGGTGCGCACCTGATTCTGGAGTGGGTAAGGTGCGGAAAGGGAGGGGCCCAACCACCTGACCATCGAGTTCAAGGAGAGAGGCGGACAGGGGGCGGGATACCGGGGGCTAGGGAAGAAGGTTTCCGGGAGTTAGGGCGGGAACCGCGAGTTAGGGGCGGGAACCATGAGTTAGGGGCGGGAACCGGGAAATAATGACCCCCTGTCCGTTTTTTTCCTCAAGTCAAAGATTTAGCATGTAGGAATCCAGAAAATATCACAAATTAGTTATACATGTAATAAGAAGTGAATATATCACAAAACCATCATAGACACTGATCGTGATCAGAACTAAAACAGGACAGGTCATAACGATACCTACCACGGAGGATCATATGGACACCAATTTGCATGCAATTGATATACTCCGGCGTTGTTTGTTATACCCGATGGGGCGGGAGGTTATAGATGGAAAGGGGGGAGAAAGGGGACGGGAGGTGGGATGAAGGGGGCGGGTGATAGAAGATGAAGACCCCCTGCCCCCCTCTTTCCCTTCAAGGACCCAAGGATAATCATTCATGAAGGATCATCCTATGTGGGGGATTTGTTATTTGGTTTTGAGTGTAATAAACGAAAGTACAAAGTAAAAGGAGAATCAACATAAAACAGTGACCTACCATTATCATACCATGGCAAACCTCACTGCACTTAAAGATGACCGCTCTTCAACTTTTTAAAAAACCGGAT